GTTTGGGTAGATTTAGGATTTTAGATTTAAAATAAATTTGGTGGGGTAGGTAGTAGGGTAGGTATATAGGTTATGTTAATTTTATAATGTCATTATTAATTAAAAATGATAAAACCTCATTTTTTATTAAATAAAACTAAAACCTGATTTTCATAAACTTAAAACTAAGCAGCTGATTTTTGGTAATTATCCCTAAGCCACACCACCACCGGGTTAGTTCCCTTTAGCACTCCAATCTCAACCAAGTTTTTCAGTTTGAGGTTGTTACACGAATTTAAGAAATGTAAGATTGAAATTCATACTGAAATTTAGGAGAGAAGAGATCAACAAAGACAGAAGAATGAAAAATATAAAATAGAATAATGCCTCTTAAATGCTATATTGTTAAAGAGACAGATCATACCGACAATTCATAGTAGTCGAAGCATTTTGGCTATATAACTACAAACTCTCGAGGGCATGGACTTATTCGAGTTGGTCAACTTCTCTCTATGCATAGAATTTGTATCCATAATGAAGTGTGCAAAGGACAGTTTGAAAGATTGTCCTGTTAGTTGAGTGTTAGTGTGGAATAAAGTTTTCAAATGCCGAATGCGAGCGGGGCAAGGCGTATCTGCGTGAAGTTTGTGTGGAATAATAACTTTCAGTTACTTAGAAAATCACTTGAACTGAACATAAAATTTCCCAAAATTCAGTTTTGCATTACCTACTCTAAAACACACACATCTTTGAAGTATCCAAGTAAACCCCGAAAAACATGATTGCTAACTACAAGTTTTGACACCCAATTAACAAAAAATGTAGAGACCAGATTTTGCTTGATCCATGTTAAAATTTTCATTTTCATTCTTCTACTCATTTTCAACCACATATTCTTCAATAAAATAATATTTTTCATCATATCAATAACTTTTTCTTCTTTTTCAATCACACATTCTCTATCAATTTATTATTTCAAAATACATTCTTATAAAATAATGTGGCTCAAACATACCCGTCCATCGTGTATAGAACTGAAATTGTTATATGGATACGAAATTCGAGCAAAAGATTCTATGTATGTATCTATCTATCTATCTATCTCCCGCTTCTCTCTCTATATAGGAAGAAAAATATGCAGTTATCATGATTTCCTAGGGTTAATCAATTTCGAACAAAATTAGAAATTCTTATTTTCTCAATAAAAAGAAGAGGGAAAGAATGCATCAAAAATTTCTGGGATTCATCAAATTCAAACAAAATTAGCCCTTCTCACTTAATCAATAACACTCAACATTGATCTGATATAGTCTTCTCACATGAAAACAAGCAATTCAAAATCATCAAATAAGCCCCTGTTTGTCTACCATTTTTCAAAAAATTGTTTTCTAAAGTAATCAATCTCTACCACACATTCAAATAATAAAATATTTTACACATAAACTGATAAAATTTCTTTCAATTTCAACCACACATTTTCCAAAAAATACTATTCATTACACAATTTTCTTCTCAATAATGGTTGACAAACAGGCACTAAATAAGCACTAAAAATAGGAGAAGAATTATACATACTCGGCTTTGAACTCAGGCTCCGACTTTCGTTTCTGGTTTTCTGAAAATTCTGCTGTTGAATTTTAGATAAATAGAGATGGAGAGGCAGCAAAACTAATCAAAACGAATTCGAAGTTTGCCGTTGAATTCTAACTGGCTTGCACACTCAAACAGTAACAGTGACTATACTTGCACTTAAATTAAATTTTAATGACGTGATTGTAACTAATCAAAGTTCAGTTACTCTGATGCAAGTTAAGTAAAAGTTCAAACTGTAATTTATGTTTAATAAAATTTATTATTTATTCACTGTAATTCACTCTGGGTGTAGCAGTCGAACTATTCACACTTGGTGCGCGAGAAA